CTCTCCTCACCCCACTCCTCTCCCGGCATTAATTATTCACCTCTCAATAAATTCAGATGGGTTTTTATCCCTGGATTTCCTTTCCCTGTGTCTCCAACGGGAATGTCCAGCCGGGAATGAATCCCACATGAGACCCTGGGGATCCTGCTGAGGGGCTGAGCCCGCCCCAGGACAGGGATTAGGGTGGGATAAGGGGCAGGAGATGTTTTTTGGGGTGAGGCTGACACTCCTGGTTCCATCCCCGCCACCTCGGCCGGGGCTGGGCCGCTCTCGGTCCCTGCTCTGCCTCGGGTGACAGAATCTCCTCAAAATAACCCCATTACGGCATCCTTTGGGATCGCTGATGGATGGGAGCAAGGCCAAGTGCGAGGAAGCAGCAGGGAGGGGACAGGGGGACAACAGGGGGACAAGGGATAAGGGACAGGAGACAGAGGGACACGGGACAAGGGGACAACAAGGGGACAAGGGACAGGAGGCAAGGGACAGGGGACAGGGGACAAGGGACAGGAGACAAGGGACAGGGGACAGGGGACAACAAGGGGACAAGGGACAGGAGACAAGGGACAAGGGACAGGGTACAGGGGACAAGGGACAGGGGACAAGGGACAACAAGGGGACAAGGGAGAGGGGACAAAGGATGGGGACAGGGGACAGGGGACAGGGGACAGGGGACAAGGAATGGGGGACAAGGGACAAGCCCTGGCACCCAGGAGGGGACCCTAGGGGACAGTGACAGGGACACGGAGGTGGCAGGTGACACGGCTCAGCTCTCGGGATTTGCTGGCCCAGCTGGGGACAGGGAATGCCCGTGGGCACATCTCTGGAGGAAAAAAAAAAACCGAAAGGTTTGAAGTGTAAAAAAATCCCCCAAAGCAGCTTCAGCAGGAAGAGGCGGAGGGAAAGAGCCCCAGATGTGCGATTCCAGCCCCGGCACTGCAGCAGGTTGTGCTGCTGCATCCCCACTGGAAAATCCAATCCCGTCTCTCCCCGCCGTGCCTCAGTTTCCCCATTCCCGCGCTGAGGATGCCTCTCCCATTCCCAGCGCCTTGATGGGGTGGGCGCCACCCCCGTCCAGTGGCAGGAGATTGGGATGAGGAGACTTTTTAATCACTTTTCCAACCAAAACCATCGCGCCTTTCCGCGATCGTAAACATTGACCCGGACCGACGGGTGACAGCGGGCAGCACCTCCCGGAGAGGCCGGGAAACCACCCAAGCGCCGACCCCCAAACCACAGCGAGGCGGTTGGAGCAGCCTCTCCCCGCTCTTCACCCACCCCAAATCCCCCTTCCCACCGGGAACAAACCAGCCGGGTCACCTCTGGAAGCGCGGCGGAGCCGAGGCGGGCGGGAGGGCGAGGATGGAGGGGGAGAGGCTGGAGCGGGAGCAGCGGGATTTCAGGAGCTGAGCACTCGCTGCCTGCAATTTGCTCATCTCCTGCGAGTAAACACCGCGGCCTGCCTCTCATTCCGGCTGGGCGAGCGCCGCCGAGGTGGAAATGGCTTCCCGCAAGGAGAGCCGGAGCTCCCGGGAAGCCGCAGCCCCGATCCCGATCCCCAGCTCCAGCCCGCTGTGGGTGAAGCCGCTCCAGACACTTGTTCTGGAGACAAACGCGTCCTTTGTGTCCCCCGCCGCTCCCCCGCCCGCATCCCAGCCGGTTTTTTTTCCCTTTCTGTATCTTTTCCTTGGCTGCTTTTGATGTTCCTTTAAAGTCCCGGCTCCAAAGGAGCTCTCCCGAGCCTTTGGATCTTCCCGTTCCTCCCGCATCCCACCGGGAGCCGGCCCACCCCTCGCATCAGCGCAGCGGGAGCCCCCGGCCCTCTCCACAGAAATTCCCCAGGGGATTTCTCCCCTCCCCTCCCTCCTTGGATCAGGACATCCCAAAAAAACCCCGCGAGCCTCTGGGATGGCCCCGCCCGGGATTTTCGGGCAAGGAAGGTGGGAGCGGGGATTGAGGGGATGGAAAAGTGGTGGGAGGACTGGGATGTCCTGGATAAGGGACTCTGGAATGCGCCTGGGGGCAGCAGCGTGACAGGGACACGGAGGGGGCGATCGATGGCCCCGGGGGAAGGGACAGCGGGGCCGGCTGGATCTGGAAACCGCGGCGGAAATCCCAGGGATGTGGGATTGGGATTTGGATTGGGATGTGCTGGGGCAGGAGGATGGGGAGGGGCAGGGGCTGCTCCAAGGAACCGGGGGGACGTGGGGATGAACGGCCTGGGGACACGGTGACACCCTGGAGCCACCTCTGGTGTGACAGCAGTGCCACCAGGACCACTGAGATGGGTCTGGGGACACGGTGACAACCTGGAGCCCCCAACAGTGACATGGACCAGCACCCCGAGATCAGCCTGGGGACACGGTGACACCCTGGAGCCCCCCCCTGCAGTGACAGCAGTGCCACCAGGACCACTGAGATGGGTCTGGGGACACGGTGACAACCTGGAGCCCCCAACAGTGACATGGACCAGCACCCCGAGATCAGCCTGGGGACACGGTGACACCCTGGAGCCCCTCTGCAGTGACAGCAGTGCCACCAACACCCTGAGTTCCGTGACAAACTCAGCAACGCGGGGACCCCCTTCCCCAAATCCCACACCTGAGGAGCCCCCAGTGGCAGCCACCACCTGTCCCCAAGCAGCTGGGGACAGCAGGACGGGAGCAGCAGCCACAATTCCATCCCTGAGTGTCCCGAGAATCCAGCACAGCCCTTCCCCCATCCCATCCCCCACCTGCAGCCCCCTCCTCTTTATGGGGGGATGGGGCAGCCCCACCTCGGCCCCCCCCCCCAGCATCAGGCACAGCCAGGGACCCCAAAGAGCCCTGAAAGTTGAATTTTGGGGCAGCTGAAGGCCCCGCCTGGGGCTGCAGGAGCCCCTCGGGGGACACAGGTGGTGGCGGTGGCCTCGGGGATGCCACCAGCAGCTGCTCGCCAGCCCCCTGTGCCTCACGCCCCACTTGGCAGCGGGGGCAGGGCTGGGATTTATCCCACAGCGGGGAGAGCCGGGAAGAGGCTCCTCCTGCAAAGGTTGGGTGGGAAAAAAATATGGGATTAGAGGAAAATCATCCCTGTGGAACCCTGTGGGGCCAGGGGACTCCTGAAGCCCAGCCCTGTTTTATTCCTTAGTCACAAAAAATCGGGAAAAAAATTTAAAAAGTGAGGATTTTGTGCCTCCCCTCCCTTGGCAGTGCCAGGAATGTCCTAAAGTCCAGCCCTGCTTCATTTCTTAGTCACAAAAAACGGGAAAAAGATTTTAAAAGTGAGGATTTTGTGCCTTCCTTCCCCTCACAGCTCCAGGAATGTCCTAAAGCCCATCCCTGTTTCCCGTTTCCCACCTCAAACACTCCGGGAATGAAAACTCGGGACAAACGCGAATATCCCGGGAGATTCCCTGCTTTTTTTTTTTTTTTTTTTTTTTTTTTGGGTTTTTTTGGAGGGTTTTTTTTTCCACGAACTCAGCGGGGACACCGCGCCAAGGTCACCCGGCATCGCCGGCGACCTTGAAACGCTGCCAGGGCGTCCCTGGCGAGGAGGAGGAGGAGGAGGAGGAGGAGGAGGAGGAGAAGGGACACGGGGACTTCCAGCTGCCGCACCAAGGCCCGGCTGTTCCCGAGGTGCTGGCAGGAGGGGACAGCCCCAGGAGGCTCCGGGCAGTGTCCCCTGGCTGGGACAGGTGGATTTGGGGACAAAAAAGGATTTCTAAGGATTTCTCCGGGATTTCCGAGCGCTGCGGGATGTGGGCAGGGGTGAGATTCCCCCCCTTTCCCTGCTGGGCTCATCCAGATGGACAAACAGCTTTGTTTTCTGGTCTGGAGATCCCTCAGCAGCAAATTCCAGCTTGGGAATCCCGACCCTCTTCCTTCTGATCTAAAAATCTCCCAACTCCAAATTCCAGCTTGGAAATCCCGACCCTCTTCCCTTTGATCTAAAATTTTCCAGCATCAAATTCCAGCTTGGAAATTCCATTCCTCTTTCCTCTGGCACAGAAAACTCCCAACACCAAATTCCAGTTTAGGAATTTGGCTCCTCTTCCCTCTGATCTAAAAATCTCCAGCATCAAATTCCAGCTCGGGGATTCCGATCCTCATCCCTGTGGCCCAGAAATCTCACAACACCAAATTCCAGCTTGGGAATCCCGCTCCTCTTCCTTCTGATCTAAAAATTTCCAGCACTAAATTCCAGCTTGGAAATCCCGTTCCTCTTTCCTTTGGCACAGAAACCTCACAACACCAAATTCCAGCTTGGAAATTTCGTTTCTCTTCCCTCTGATCTAAAAATTTCCAACATCAAATTCCAGCTCGGGAATCCCGATCCTCTTTCCTTTGGCACAGAAACCTCACAACACCAAATCCCAGTTTGGGAATCCCGTTTCTCTTCCCTCTGATGTACAAATCTCCCAAAAGCACGGCTGAAAATCCCGTTCCTCCTCCCCTCCCATCCATCCCGGGCGGGGCTGGCGCCGCCTCTCCCATCCCGAGACTCCCGAACTCCTCTCCTGCCCCATCACCTGGGATTTTTTTGGGAATGAGGGGGATGAGGAAAGGGAAAAGGCGCTGGGAGAGGAGACACCGAGCGATGGGAGCAGCGGCAGATCCCAGAGGCCGGCAGGGAAAAGGGACGGGATCAGCTCCAGGAGGAGGAGGAGGATGGAAAGCAGAGCAATCCCTGCCTGGCAGTGGCCACCAGGGTGGAGCTCCCACTTCCAACCCCATCCAGAACCGGCCTTTTCCCAAAATTCTGCTCTCTGCTGTGAGGAATAACTCCAGAGCAGCAGGATTTGGCTGTGGGGTGAGCAGATCCTGGCGGAACAACTCACCCCAAACCCAAAAAAGTCCCTCTCACCGCCTTCAGCTTCACCTGAGCCGAGACCAAAACCACCTCAGCTGGGGAATCCTCATCCAAAAAATCCCACCCCGAGCTCCCACACCCCAAATTCCAGAGGCACGGCGGCCGAGCACATGCATTTCAAAGAGAAAGCAGGAAAAATCCGAAATACTGACCTTAAAGCTCCAGTAGTTGGGTTGCTAACAACGGAAAGGAAAGATAGAACAACAGAAGAGAACACACACACACACACAAACAACAAAAAAAAATACCATTAAGATTCTGGGTTTGATTTTTGTTTTCCCTTTGGGAACCGCTGGGTTGGGATTTAAACCTGCTCCGGCTCCCAGAGGAGTTTTGGGGAGGAAGCAGAGGGTGAGGATGGAAGGAAATCGGGGTGAAAAAGGATGGAAAAGGGCTCACCGGCACTGCTGGAGGTCACAAAAATGTTCATTTTCCAGAGGGTTTCCCCCCGTGGGAGCCTGGAATTCCCTGAGGATGCTCGGGACGGGGCCCAGGCAGCCGCGGGATTGGGGAATTTTGGAATTGGGGTTGGGAAGGGATCTTGAGGTTGGGTTTTGTTCCAGTGGGATCCCGCCAGGCCGGACTGCTCCCAGGGACATCCGAACCGCAGCGGGAGGGAACGGGAGCCAGGGAATGGGAATCCAGGGATAAGGAATGGATCCAGGGATAGGGAATGGGATCCAGGGAGAAGGGATGCAGGGAGAGGGAATCCAGGGATAGGGAGTGGGATCAAGGGATAGGGAATGGATCCAGGGACAGGGAATGGATCCAGGGATAAGGGATCCAGGGATTAGGAATGGGATCCAGGGAGAGGGAATGGGATCCAGGGAAAGGGAATGGATGATTCTGGAGGTGGGCAAGTGACTCTGGGCACAAAGCAGCAGCACCAGTCCCCCCCAGCCCTG